CCGCCTCAGGTTTTCTCCTTTCAACCTGAGACGCCCCAAGCTACTGAATGCTTGGTGGTGTTTGTAGTTTTCAAGAAGTTCCCTGAGCCCTTTAATTTGTTCTCAGATTCTCAATATGTGGTTAATGCATTTTCTTCCCTTGAGATGGCTGCCTCGGTCCGGCAGATGAGCCCCGTTTCCAATATTTTATTGCAAATCCAATATCACATTTTGCAAAGAAGTCAGCCTTTTTTTGTTGGCCATGTTAGAGCACATACCTTGCCTTCCTGGCTTTATTTCCAAAGGCAATGAACAGGCCGACCTAGCCACCAGGGCCATGATGGCCCTGGTTGCTGCCGATCCTATCCAACATGCTCGGGACTTCCACAATCTGTATCATGTCCCCGCTGACACCCCGCGGAGAAAGTTTGCCCTGAGCAGACATGATGCTCGAAGTATTGTAAAAGCTTGTTCTTCTTGCGTCACCTTCTTTCATCCCCCTCATGTAGGCATCAACCCCCGAGGCCTGCGACCAAATGCCTTATGGCAAATGGACGTCACTCATGTTCCGGAATTTGGTCGTGTTAAATATCTTCATGTCTCAGTGGATACCTACTCGGGTATCATTTTTGCCACCCCCTTGGCAGGTGAAAAGTCCACTCATGTAAAGACCCATTGTTTGGAGGCCTGGGCGGCATGGGGTAAACCTGTCCGTTTAAAGACAGATAATGGCCTTGCTTACTCTTCCAAGGGTTTTCGTGCCTTTTGTGCGCAACTCCAGGTTGTGCACACCTTCGGTTTGCCATACAACCCCCAAGGCCAGGGGGTAGTGGAAAGAGCTAATCGCAGCCTCAAAGAGCTCTTACAAAAACAAAAAGGGGGAGTGGCTGAGACTGCCTCCCCTAGGAACAGGATTGCTATGGCCCTTTTTACTCTCAATTTTTTGATAATGGACGATAAAGATCATAGGGCAGCCGACCGACATGCTCACCCCACCTTAGAAGGGGCAGGAGATGCATGTTATGGGTTTAAACAACTACTTTCTGGCTTAATTTGAGGACATCTTCATAAAATGCAATCCATACCCGGCACTGTTCACATGGCCAAGTATCAGTGGCTACATATGCCATCAGTCCTAAGAAAAAACCTACTACTACTATTCACCTGAAAGAACATAGTGTTAAAATGACCCCTAATGGCTTATCACTATACCCATAGATCAGCAACTTTCATTAGATAAGCTTCTTGTTGTAGATGACAATTAACACGGAAACCCATAGCTGGTCAATAATGTAGTCTAAAAGACTATGCAGTATACATCACAACCATGTCGAATGTATTACATCTGTTCTCCAAGGCACAGAAATATTGGTAGAAGAGGAAGTGTTAAGACTGTAAGAGCCAGAGGTTGTTGATTATTTCAAGGAAATGGTGCTTTGCATATAATACGATAGTTGCATATATGAACTCACAGAGACTGTGACAGCATGCACAAGACCTGTATAAGGTTAAACCAGATAAAATCCCAGCACAAAGCAGGGGAATAGGTATGAAGGCCCACTCCTGATTGAGGGGCTATTGGCATTTGATAACTACTGAGGGAAAGAGTCAGTTTTTTTAATGGTGTGACCTGTGTTACATTCCATGGCAGGGCCCTACACCAAGAATAATTGGATAACACAAACTAGACTCAGTAGGGAGTGATGGGAAAGAGAGAGGGAGGGTTGGAGGCAGACAAAGAGAGACAGAGACAGGGAGGCAGAGAGAGACAGAGACAGAGAGGGAGAACATTAAGCATTAAGTTGGTTGAGTAGGGAAGTGATAGTGGATCTAGAGGAGCTGGGGTAAAGGGTGAATATGATCAAAATACATTGTATGAAAATTGCTAAAAATTAATAAATTATTTAAAATCTTGGCTAGTTTAAAAAAAAAGTCTATTAATATTCATCAAAAAATCTGGTGTTATTCTCCAGCATAAAATTATTTAGAAAGAATTGTTTCTGATTATTAGGATAAACATGCACGTTTATTTACACAAAAATAAAAATGTCTAAAAGTATTACCCTGTACAGTCATTGTGGCTTTGCCATCACTATACTTCACAATGTTTTACATAATATACGATCACTAACTTTGGCTTTTTAAACCAAATACATTTTTAGTGGAACTGAGACAAAAAAGAAACAAAAATTACAACTTTGTGCCCTACTAAAGTTTATATTTATTAGTGTTACTGATGATAGTACAATCTGTAATATCGAAACTATTGCTGAGATTAAACATTTCTAAAGACAGTCACTCTAAAAAATGTCAATGTTCATTTTGATACAAATTTAATATTAAGTAAGTTTTTGTTACAATGGTGCATATAGATGAACTGATAGTTTCATATCAAACCTGTCATCCATAACTTGAATGACAATTAGAAAAACAATCACTAAATGAAGAGTAAGATTTCCCGAAACAACTATTTAAAACTATGATTTACAATAAATAAATGTGGGTCAGACAGCTAGCTCATTGGTTAAAAGCACTTGTTTCTCTTATAGAGGACCTACCTGGGTTTGGTTCCTAGCATCCACACTGAGGTTGACAATGTAGTCAGCTCTGGTGATACTATGCTTTCTTTTGGCCTCCAAAGGTACTAGGTATATACATAGTACACATATACACATGCAGCCAAACACCAATACACATAAAATAAAACTAAATAAATCTTTTAAAAAATAAGGAGATTTATTATAAGTGTTCTTATTTTTATACTAAGTTTAAGTTATCCATGAAGAAACAATAAAAAATAGACTAAAAGTCAGCATTGTATCTGGCAGACATTTTTAAGAGATTGAATTCATACAGAAATTTTTAGGAAAGCTAACTTTTGAAAACTTTCAAAAACTCATTCTTCTTCTTTTTTCCAAGACTTAAAGTCAGCTTTAGTTAATAGATGCAACATCAAAATCAGAGTTTTGAAGAAAAAACAAAAATCAAATAGAATACATTTTAGTGTGGTGTATTTTTCAGGAGTAGACATAAGTTGCATTTCCATATTACTTTAAGTATTATAGTCTAAAGAGATTTCCAATAAACAGGTGATTTATTTTTGCGTTGAACTCCCAGGTGTCTTGGGTGGTATAATTTGAATAATTTCTTAGAAGTTTCTTGCATTTCTCCCCATAAATGTCCATTATCATTTAAATACATTTACCATAAACATGCAAAAGTGACAGAAATTTATATTATTTCTCACTTTTACTTTATGTTAACATCTACCAAATTAGAATCTTTACCTTAGATCCTGTTTTAACTTGAAACAGCCATAACGTATTGTCACATGATCTGTCCTGAAGGATGACTTTAGAACACTGACATTTTGCATGTACCTACACATTTTTAAAAGTTATACTTAATTCTCATAAAATTATATATTCTTTTGGGACAATTAAAAATAATCAAAGTACTCTAATTCTCTCATATCTATAGTTTTACTCTACTTGTAAATTTAACAGAAAATGGATTAATGGCAACTAATTTATAAGTCTACAACTATGAATTTCAACAATATTTTGTAAAAAAATCTTACTAAACTTCACCCTTTATACAGATTTTTCAGTGTGTGTATGTGGGTGGGGCGTATGCTTGTGTGGGAGTATGCTGCTGTGGGTTTATGCCTGTGTGGGTGCATGTTCTTGTGTGGTGTTCATGTGGAGGCCAGAGATGACACTGGTGTCCTTTCAGTTGCTCTATATCTCACTGTGGGAGACAGGATCTCTCAGCCTGCAGCTCATGGCTTTGTCTAGGCTGGAAGCACCAGGGACTCGTCTCTGTTCCCTACATCAGGGTCACAAACGCCCATTTCAATACCAGTGTTTCATCTGAGTGCAGGCTATCTTAAGTCTCCATCATTGCATAGCAAGACATTACTGACAGAGTCATCACCACAGCCTTTACCCATTTTTTCAAGGATGTTTTGTCAGTTTTGGTTTAATATGTCAGATGCATGGTATCTATTTATAATCTAATATAAAAATGAATTTAAGGGAACTAACTGTAATATAATTCTAGCAAATCTGTGTCACACAATAAAAAGATGGTATTTTTGTTCTTCACAGACTAGTTAACGAGCATGCAAGCACCTTGAGGGTAGAGACTATGAGCGTTTCACAGACTTTACTAAAAACTAAAGTGACGGAAAAGTGGAATGGAAGAGTATGGTGACACTCGCCTTTAATCCCAGCACTTGAGAGACTGAGGCATGAGAATCTCAATCTCCAAGTTTGAGACTAGCCTGATCAACATAGTGAGTTCCAGGACAGCCAGGGCTACAGGGAAACCCTGTTTGGACAGCTCCTGCCCCGAAAAAAATAAAAAAACTGAAAGGAAAAAGAAAAAGAAAAAGAAGAAAGTAGAATGGGAAATCATGAGCACAACCCCTCCCAAAGAGTAAGACTAATAATAGTAGGTTTTTCTCAGGATTACTGGATCTGTATTACAATCAGATAGAACATGTCATGAAATGTATATGTCACATGTTTCAAGTTCTAGTTGAATACACTGTCTTTTTCTCTTCTTTTAACATCTTAAGTGGTCCTTTAATTTCCAAAGAAATTCCCACATCCTTCAAGCAGTTTCAGTTCTCTGGATGACAAATACTACAACACATTAAAAACTGTTATTATAAATGTTGCTACAAAGAAAATGCTGATAATGCATTACTTCTTTTAGAGTGGTCACTTTTTATTAAGTACAAAAGGTAATAACATAAAACAGAAAGAAAATAAATATATATCAGAAGTTATTAATGTACAGCCACTCAAAATTCAGAAATATGTTTTTTTCATGTACACATACATGAAATAAAGTACCATAACCAAAGGGTGCTGTGTCTGTGTTTAAAGAAGGGGTTGTTGGCAAACAGCACAGCTCACTATGCTGAAATGTACACAACTGATATATGCAGCACAGAAAGCTGGCACCGAGGGCTTACAACCTTAATTTGCCTGCAAGAAGGAACAGCCATTTACCTTCAGAGCACGTTCCTGATTGTTTTCAGCAGTCGGGTGTCTCATGTTGTTTGCTGAAGTCTGCTTCTGCTCTTTCAGACGATGAAGCTCCTGGTGCAGCCGTTTGCACTGCCACAAGGGAAGAATCCCATTAAGTAAAGGAGTTAGCATTTTTTTAACCAAGCCATATGAAGTAATGTAAATAACACCACAGTATTCTTTCAAAGGCAAGGATTTCTTTTGCAACATAAAAGTGTTGACTACAAACAAGTTAACACTATAGAACTTTGGTAATTCAATTACAATTAGTCTTATTATAAATATTATATTGAAAACATTTAGCCTCATAAAATTAGGACCAAGCTATATTCAAATTATTTTATTTGCTGGGCAAATATTTCTGGTTAAAAACCCACTATTGAATAAAAACATGCACCTAAAATGATAAAATTATATTAATCTTTTAAAAATGAAAATGTGAGTTAAGATACAATCCAGTGTTCTGGCTATCTAAAACATTTTACATAACTGTACAAACTATAAAATTATATGGTGCAAATTAGGATGTTATGAAGTTACAATAAGACATTGCTTAAAGCAATAAAATATAAAGCCTGTGGTTCAAGAAAGAAGTTAAAAGTTACTCCTGATTACTTTCAAAATAGTATATTTGAGGAATAACCAATAAATGGGCATACTAATTTAAGATCTGGACAACTTCCTTTCTAGATTACTAATGTTGATATGCATATATAAAATTGAATGTACACAGCTCATGAATGTAAAATACTATTGGCACACTGACCAATTAAATAAAGTAATCATAAAAATCAATACATTTCAAGTTAATACTAATTTAAATTAGCTCAGTGCCTTGTGAAGATCAATTCTAGGGCCTTGAGGTGATGGTTTGTAAGGAAAGGTACTTGCTGCACAAATGAAGTTCTGAACTAGAACTCAGAAAAAAGTCAGATGCAATACTGCGATTCCAGTGCTCCTATGGCACCATGGGATGTGGAGAAGGGAGAAGTGTCACAAGCCCCGTGACTTGATGGCTTGTCTCAAATAAAGTGAGACAACCTGATGTTATCTCAAAACTCCACATGCGTGCCATGGCATGGGAATGCTCTGCTCACACAAATGTACATGCAAACATACATATATGCACAATTTACAAACACACAGAGGTAAATATTCCAAGCATATGATGTGGTGCTCACTGGTTAAGTGGCAGTTCTCTTTCATTGCTATGCTCATTCTACCGTGTGTTATATGATAACCAATGCACTTACCACATTTTATAAATTAGGTAAAAACTCTGTGACACAATTCCTTTCATTAATATTTGGAGGGAACAAGTGATTATCATTACAGCTTACCTGTTCTTGGCTTTTAAAGCTTATAACAAAAATTCTGTCTCACAGTAAACATAAAATTTATTACATGAGAATAAATTACAGCTTTTTTTTACTATGATCATCTGTATCTTTTCAATTAATTTAATAAAGAAATGACAAGTATTAAAAACTAAAGACTAAATGACCTATGGAAATTCAAAGGCAAAGTAAATAATTTCAACCATAGAACAAAGAAAAATTTATGAAGCAGAGATCTCTAATTGGACTTATTTTGGGGTATATTATTCTGTAAGATGAAACAACAACAACAAAAAAAAAGAACGTAAGAAGAATGAAAGTGTCAAGGGAATATTAGAAAAACTGAGGAGCATCAAAAGTTGTCTGGCACAGGGGAACTTCATCAATGATATCTCAACAACATGGAACAACATGGCTGCCAAAACAAGACCCAAAGAAGTACAATAAACATGCTAACATGGAAGGGAGAAATCTCATGGTGCGTGCGCGCGCACACACACACACACACACACACACACACACACGCACGCACGCACGCACGCACAAAGCGTTTTTAAAATATGACTAGTAAAAGTGTCCACACTAGAAGAAGGTAATGTCCCAAGATGATAGCTGTGCTTTTTTCAGGTTTCAGAAGCAGGAGGTCTCAAGAAAGTGTATGTGAATGTGTGTGTGTGTAGTACTGGGTATCAAATTCATGGCCTGGAGAATGGTAGGTGAACACTCTATCAGATGTCTAGGTAAAATGGTAAGATGGTAAAAATACTATTTAGGCAAGTTGGACAAGTGTCTATCTCAGAGCTTTTGTACTATTGTTTCTTCCGCTTCAGTTACTCTTTGCAAAGATACACAGCCATTAATTATAACTTCATCTGTTTAGACATTTTTCACACATCTTTTTCTCTTGTGTCTTTTTTATTTAAAGTTAGAAATCATTTCCTTATTTTTGTACTATATATTCTGTGCTTATTGTCTTTTTCTGATTATAGACATTTTTATTTACTTTGTCAAATTCTTTATCTTCATTATCTGTAACTTCCTAGCAAAGTAACTGATTAATACATATTGGTTTAATGAAAATTAACTTCAGATGGCTGGGCGTGCTGGTGCATGCCTTAGTCCTAGCACTGGGGAGGCAGAGAAAGGAAGGAAGGAAAGAAGGAAGGAAGGAAGGAAGGAAGGAAGGAAGGGGAGAGAGGGAGGGACGGAGGGAGGGAAGAAAAGGAAGGAAGAAAGGAAGGGGGGAGGGAGGGAAAGAAAGAAATAGAGAAAGAGGGAGGGCGAGAGGGAGGAAGGGAAATGTACTTTAAAATAAGTGTTTCTGTAGACAGGAAATACTGGCAAAGCTCAAGGAGAATATGTTTGTTACATGTCTCATTTTTTCATAATGTGAAAAATTATTTCATTTGATACATTGGAAAGTGGAAACAGAAGAGATTTTTTCCAGGTGGACTGGAGGCAGCTGGAGATGGGAACAGAGGTTATCTGGTGGAGGTGGAGTTGAGGGAGAGAGTACTGGGAGAGACAACTGGAACTGGGGGGAGCATCCCTTTAGATCACTAGAGGTCACACTGGTGCCTGATCTGTCTTCTAACCTATGATTCCATCTTCCCCCTATCCTACCCCCCCACTCAACCTTCCTGTTCCCCCATGACCTACTCTCCCTTCCTCTTCTCGCCCTCTCTATTTCCAGCTCCCACTCCCTCTTACCCCTCACCGTGTTCCCCATCTGTTCAGAGGATCTTATCTCATTTCTCTTCTCTTGTGTACCCAGCAACAGAATGTTTCTGACCATGTCTTGAAAACTGAGTTGCATTAAGCAACCAGGTTTAAAAATGTTTAGTGCAGCAAAACTTACGCTCTGTTTGTGCTCTACTTCTCTCACTCAGCACAAGGACCTCCATGAGGCATGCTGAGAATCACTGAACTAATCTTTATACTCCTGAAAAGCTGGAGTTTTCTTCAACATAACAGTTGTTAGAAGAATGGGACAATAGGTAGTGATACTGTGACACGTCAAGAAAGCTTCTACAGTTTTACTAGATACCAAACCAAACTTTTCTCTACTGGACAAGGTTATCTATAAGATTTTAAAAATAGACTGCCCATGCCAAAATTCTCCTTTACTGCAAACTAAATACTCAACAAAGGAGAAAAACATCCTCCCAATATTTTCTAACATTCAATGTACTTTCCCCTAGTATCTGTAAAGTTGCTGGTTTTATTGAATAATAATAGGAAAAAAATCTGCATACAAATTTTAAACATACTTCCTCGGTGTGTTCTTCCTGCAGGATTTGCCACAGTCCATAAAATGATGATATTTACTAAAATTTGAGTTATTAAATTAGCAGTGGTTTTTAACTAGTACTACCAATTGTGAATAGAGTCTAATAGAGAAGTATGAAGCAGATTCTGATTTTCATTACCACACACTGAAAAGGAATCCTAATAGATGAACTGCTAATAGAAGACACCAACTGAGATGAAGTTTAGGTGTATCCCAGAGATCTATTCCATTTTTGTCCTTTAAATACAACTAACTCCTCTCTACAAAAGAAAAAAGAAAAAAAAAGGAGGGAGGGAGGAAATGAAGAGGGAGGCAGGCTGGCAGGCAGGCAGGCAAGAAAGCTAATACAAACTTTCCTGGTGGTCTATTCAAATCATACCTGTCTGATCTATTCTCTTGATCATCCCAATTTCCTGGATACTTGTTTTAACTGTTTCCTTTATTCTGGTAGTGAAATAAATGTAATCCCTAAACAGAACAAAACCCAAAAAAAAACAAACAAAAAGAAAACCCCTAAAGACAGCACATAGTCCTTAGTTTATTAACATATGATGTTTTCAGCTTGTTCCACAGCTTGGTAGGATCTCAGTCTTCTGGGTTAGCACCATGTCTAATAAGAAAATGACAACACCAACAGCAAGGCCAGTATACTCACATTCAATACATGACATTAATTATATTAAGAATTATAAAATTATTTGAAATCATGACTATACGCCTATCACTGATTTGTGGTAAGAAAGACTATAAGATACATGAAAAGGGTGGTGAGAATAAGAAGGAATATAAGGGCCTGAGGATGGGGAGGAGGGCTGTGAAATGCCTTCTAGACATGACATGGCTGCTGCATACATGACCTTACAGCAGCTGTAGATAACTGCACAGGAACTTCCCAAGTTAAAATTCCAGCACTGACGGGGTAGAGACTTTCAAGGCCGCATACCTAGCTAAGGAGTTACTGGTTAAGTAGTGGCTATTGTGGAAGAACCACTTTTCTTCAGGGAAGTGGCTTGTGCTCGAGGAGATGCTCCCATTCACATACAGGCAACACTAACCAGACTCAGTGGGTTATATGTATATGCATATATTTTGTGTTTTAAATAAAAAGTTATAGTCATCAGTCAAAACAAAATAGAACAATATAGTGGGGAGATGTATGGAGAGAGTCAAGAGGAAGTTGGGAGAAGTAGGGGCTGAATATCATTGTTTACGCAGGAAACGATCCAAGAATAAATTTAAAATATTTTAAAAAAACAAAAATAAGAGTGGTCAGTACAGGAAACACACATCACCAAAAGCATGTGCACTACACATGCAATGTGCATGAATTCAGACATCATAAACCCAATAAAAAGGAGGCAGAGACAGGAAGATCCCTGGGGCTTGCTTGCCAGTCATTCTGGCATTCAGTGAGAGACCATCAAGCAACCATCAAGTGGAGAGTGACAAAAAGAGACATTTAA